TCTCAGAATTCTCATACGTAATACTATACCTGGAAAGCATTCGGCTATCTTGGACTGATTGGACAACAAAATACTCGTGAGCAAAGATAGTGACGAAATGCAAGCTTATCTGAACGCCTTGAGTAACAGAGTAGATTTGATTGACATACATTTCACATCTGAAAAGTGTGATATAACGCTACAAGACTGGTCCGTACTCAGCATTAGTTAAGGGAAGAAAATCATATGCTTAAATACAGTGAACACGGTAGTTATAAGAGGAATGGCATTAGCTCTGACATCCTCGTTATTGCGTGCATCTCATCGTGAATATGAAAGACTCATTTGTTAATTAGCCACTTGTGTCATCTCTGGTAGAGGTGAAATACTGAAACCCTGTTAGAGGATGAATACCTACGAGAAGTTTGCGAAACACTGTTGCGTCACATATGTGAAACCTTACAGCGCAACGAATATCTAGTTGGTGCCTATCGTACACGATCTATTTGGAAGTTTAGGGTTAACATTTGGTTTTCCTAAGGCGGAATCAGCATGAACTGCTGGTCATTTGCAGGAAACATCCTACTGTTGTCACTCTCCTTCCAGTTAGCAGTAACTATTCCACCCTCCGACTTCTGCATTACGACAGAAATTGTCTTTACTCTTTTCAGGATCCAACGGGCTTTTATTGTATGATATGACCTCCAGAAAAAAACGTTAGCACCAGAATGGTTCGTTAGGTCACTGTGACATGCATGTCTGGTTACCACATGTTCAGGCAGAAGCCACTCGGACTGGATGGTGTTTTTCAGAAAGTATTCCATGATGATGCACTTTGTACGGTTACTCGTATATTATGTTTGGTGTTTCAAATAGTCACTTTCTAAAAGTGGAAGAATAGATGAGTTGGGCAAGAAAACCGATGGAGCGAAATTCATGCCTGTGTGACATTTTTGAAATTCTGTTATGCAGTAATATAGGAGCGTTGTAAATAACTTTCCCACCTGTAGCTACAAATCTGTAGTATCGGATGGTGGCTATTGTTTTTTGTAAAACGTTTCAGGGTGACCAGGTTATGAAACTAACAGATTCGCACCCACGTCAAAATACAAACAGAGAGGAATGAATCCTATTTCAGCCGTCTTTTTGTTCGAACTACCCAATTTAATACTTATATCACATCTGATTGTTCTTCATTCACATGTCGAATTTCCTTTTGTTTAGTGACATATTAGTTTATGGTGCATTCTCCTACTTTGTGTTTCGACTATGGCGCACTTCTTAGTGACTGTGTTGTATCGCTTGTGTTATGTGTGTTCTAAATAAAGACTTAAACAAAAAGTTTCTATAACATGCATCAGAATCTGATATTGGTAGAGTTGCTGTTGAAGTAAGCACTGCACTTACAGGACATGAAAATCCCAAATAAAAGTTCATTAGGATAATTTGGCTTAAACTGGTAGACTCCGACAGCGTGGTCACAAAACCGTCTTCATTTATCTTGGGTGATAAATCGAGCAACACTTATGCAAGGATGGCAGATACAGATGGTTAAAGTTATACTTTATGAAAGTGATGGCTTTGCATCCTACAGTTGTTAGATACGCTCCCAAAACCACCGTGATCAAGACGTTTAGTGTTAGCATACAGCATATCAAATAGATGCCATGATAAATAACAGTCGTTAAAGACTTCCAGAATTCTGATAGATGAATTTCGAAATATTTTACTTCTAAACAGCGTAATGAGAAGACGAAGATTATCTGAAGCATGTGATGTATTAGCGCTACATATTTCGAAGACTCCCTCAGCATACTGTTAAAAGATTAGATGAATTGGTTAACCACAGATATAAAATCGCACATGAAAAGAGTGAAGTTGACTTTTATAAATCTTGCATTTCTAATCACACGTTTCTTGAAATTTTATTACATAATAGTTAGACAAGTCCATGTGTGGTCAGATTGTTCGAAATGTATAGCGCTAATACATCACATGTTTCAGATAATCTTCGTCTTCTCATTACGCTGTTTAAATTTATCAAAGGACCAGTTGCTTTAAATATTTTACTTCTGTTTCATTGTTTAAGCAACACGAAAGAAAAAGAAAAATGCACGATGGTCGATTAGTGGAGACTCAAATAAGAAAATAAATATCAAAATGAACTCGGTCTGAGAATCTACTAAAGGTTAATTTCGAGGATGGAAGCGAAACTATTGACAAAAAGCTGACAAGGCTGAGTGTTACATTTCTGTGAAATGGGGTAACTTAGCGCTTATCTTTAAAACGGCTTATGCTATGTATGCATAAACTATCAAGAAGTGGGATAAGCCCAAAACATTAGCTATTATTGTAGTGTAGAGACTGAAAAAAGGTAGTGCAGGAAGTGACTCAAAGATTATGCTAGGGTGTAGGTCACATTTGTTTACTTCACACCATATTTCCACCAGGCTTTCATGTCAATTTTCATGAGGGTGAAAAAGAACATAAAGTTTAATGCATATCAGTAACAAATTGTACGGTATGTTGGCGATGTATTGAAACAAAATACTAGGCGTGATAGGAGCTGATTGGAAGTCTAAAAACTACTTCGTCTTTCCACATATTATTATTATTAGTCCCTTGGGTTCCTAGTGGAACATAGGGCTTCAGTAGCACGTCTCCATTCCACTCTGTTCTCTGAGATCTTTTGAACCTGGCTCCACGACAGCCCAGAAGCTCTCATTTCTTCCTCGCACGACCTCCTCTATGTCACCCTCGGACGTCAAACTCGTCGCTTCCCATGGGGATTCCACTCGAGCGACTGGCCTGACGCGTGATGTCTCCAGTCGGCCTTCTCAGTGCATGCCCAATCCATCTCCACTTCCTTCTGCATATTTGCTGCGTGATAGGTTCTTGGTTGGTTCGTTCCCAGAGTTCCTTGTTGCTTATTCTTTCTGGCCATCTGATCTTCAGTAGCGAGCCAGCGTAAGCAGTTGTTGATGAATGTCTGTAGTTTATTGGAAATCCCTTTCGTGACGCGCCAAGTCTCTGAACCGTACAGAAGCACTGACTTGACACTGGTGTTGAAAATCCGGATCTTGTTCCACATGCTGAGTGCAGAAGATCTCCACACTGGTTTCAGGCTAATGAACACCTGTCTTGCTTTTCCGATTCTGACTTTGACGTCCTCGTCCGTCCCGCCTGTAGTTGAAACAGTGCTTCCGTAGAGAGGTGAAGGAGGTTACTTCCTTTAAGTTTCTCTCGTTGACGGTGATTGGAGTTTGTTGTTGTTGTTGGTGGTGCGGTATCTTCATCACCTCTGTCTTCTGTATATTCACTTGAAGTCCCGTCTTCGCTGCCTCTTCTATCAACTTGTTAGTTTTTGCCTGCAGATCTTCAAGTTTATGTGACATTAGGCACAAGTCATCGGCGAAATCCAAGTCTTCTAGGTTCTTTTCCACAGTCCAGTGTATCCCCTCTTCTCGCTCCTCACTGTTTGTTGCATGATCCAGTCCACTACAATCAGGAATATCATGGGGGATAGTAGACAGCAGCCTTGTTTCACTCCTATCTTCACTTCACTTCAGTGGCATCACTGAGCTTCCCATTGTGAATTACTTGGCATGTGGCATCTTCATATAGTTGTTGAATGGGGCGGATAAAGGTTTGCGGTACTCCGTAGTAGTGAAGCAGTTTCCAAATTACCTCTCGGTCGACGCTGTCAAAGTCCTTCTCAAAGTCGATAAAGTTGAGGTAGAGAGCTGATTGCCATTCTATGCTCTGTTCTATGATGATGCGAAGCGTTGCAATTTGGTCCGTGCATGATTTGTACTTCCTGAAGCCTGCCTGTTCCGGTCGCAGTTTTGAATCCAGTGCATCTTTAAGCCTCTCCAGGATGATGCGGCTTAATATTTTACTTGGGGTGGACAGGAGAGTGATTCCGCGCCAGTTCTTGCAAACACTGAGGTCTCCCTTCTTCGGGAGTTTGACAAGGTAACCCTTCTTCCAACCACTAGCCAGGTATCTTCTCTTCCCTCCACACCTTCTGCAATATTGGTGTGGTGTGAGCATGTCTGCTGTTGTCTCTGCGTCTGTTTTCAGTGCTTCTGGTGGGATTCTATCTGATCCTGCCGCTTTCCCGCACTTCAGTAGCTTTATGGCGTTCAGGACCTCCATTTTTGTTGGAGGATTTATGTCCACTTGTAGTTCAGCGGCTGTAGGTGGACGAAGTGCAGGTGGTGGTGGTGGTCGATTCAAGAGCTACTTCAAGTGGTAGGCCCATCGTTCCCTTTGTTTCTCTTCTTTCGTAATTAAATTTCTGTCTTCATCTTTTATTGGTTTCGTCTGCGTCGATCTCTTCCCAGATAGCAACCTGGTTATTTGATACAATGTTGTCAGGTCTCTATCTCTCCTACCTGCAGTCTGTTCTGCTTCACTTGCCAGTGTTTCCTAGAAGTGTCTTTTGTCTTTCCGTGCACTCTTCTTCACTTAACTGTCCAGTGTAGTGTTTTATACATTGTACTCAGTTCCTCCTCTTGTTGTGCATGCTTGCACTTCTTTATCTTCTGCTTCACCATCCTCCTCTTCCTCCTCTATCAGCTTCCATGTGTATCCGTCGAGATCCATTCCTTGTCTTCTTTCTTCTTCCTTCCTAATACGGCTGTGCAGGGTTCTTTCCACATAGCTTTCAAAGACTTCCAGTGTTCTTCCACACAGGTTTCTTCAGGGATGTTCCTCGATATCTCCCATTTTGTCTTGATGGCTGCCTTGAAGATCTCCTTTGTAGTTTCATCCTTCAGCTGCCGAGTGTTGTACTTGAACTGTGGTCTATCACCAGCTTCCTTGAAGGCTTTTAACTTGATTTGGAAGGTTCCTTGCACTGGATAGTGGTCTGAACCTACATCTGCTCTTTCCACATAACAATCAAATATTTCACCTGATACGAACATTCTTCGGATGCGCTAATTTCGAACTTAATCACAGTTCCCGAAAAATTACCACCTAGAAAAATAATCAATATGAGTAAGCACACATATTACCTTGGTTGGTAGTTTGTCCAGCTGTGGATTCTGAATGGCTGGATGAAACTGTCTGAGATTCAGTTGTTGCCTCACTTTCTGGAGTCAAATCGGCTCTGGAACGATGGTGTGTAAGCCACCTAAAAAAATAAAACTTCGTTTGCAACAATATGAAGATGGTACAGTGTAACAGAAAAGTTATGCAGTAGCTATAGGATAAATCACTAAAGTTTATTACCACACAAGCAGCGTAGTAGACGACTAGTATTCAAACACAAGAATAACTGAAAAGGAAACATCCAAATATACTTCATTATAACTTTGTACCGTTTGCTGTCATTAATTTTGTACAACAATAATAAGAAAAACAATAAGTAGAAAATTAAATCGTCTTCATAGGAGAAACGCAAACGTAACAACACCACAAAAGCCGCAACAACTTGGGAAACTAGCCGCTTCTGAGCCTCATCCCCGTGCGACATTACGATGCTTATTTTGACATAAAACAACGCACTAGCATCGCAGGATAAGTAAAACACATTTAAGGAGCACATTCAAACTGCGATATCAATACCTTACGGCAGTCGAGAAACACTAAAAATAATGAATTCGCGTTCAAACACAAATAAAATGCACCCTTTTGTGAAAAAAGAAATCCTAAAAGGGAAACATAGGCGACAATACAAAAGTCGTATTCCAGAGATATGACCATTACATACCAATGGAAAAGGTAGAAGTATTGTTGAAAATACATAAAAAATTATCAAAATAACACCTGGCAACACACCAGAAAGAACCAAAATCCCAAAGGACAGTTAACGCAGGAAACACAAAACAGCAGAAAACAAAGAAACCAATTAAATAGACACTGAAAAATAAGAAAGAAAGTCGGAAAAACATAGCATCAAACAGAAAATGAACACACGATAACCCACATCATGGAGAACAAACAAAATAACAAACCGGATGGACTGAAATTGGAAATTCAAATACAATATCAGACCTGCAAGATCAAGAATAAATTCAAGCGAAGCAAAAGAATATTCTTTTACTTGGCCTCCGCCTGCATCGAACCAACGACCGACACAGCTACAGCATATCGTCACTATGACCCATCGTTGAAGAGGATCACTCAATGATTGTCACTCTCTCTGCAGTACCTGTTCAGATCACGATCATGCATTAGTAAGCGCACGTGTGTTCTCACACCCAATGGGAGTAGCAAACAGACAACAGTGAAGCCTAAGTTCGCTTGACTCCAAATGAGAACATCAAGTAGACATCTACCGAGAAGAGAGCTAAGCGCATTCATCAGAATATGCCAGTAATTTTCTTGGTCTCGAAGTCTGGTTTAATATTCAGTCTGCTGTGGAAACAGCCATATAGACAGACAGTTGTAGCCTACATCCAAAGGCTAGTAAATGTTACTGCATCTCCACAACCACATATCCCAACTGATTACTCACATAAAAATGTTCCAGCTGACTATGACCACGATCATGAGTCGAAGCAAATTAAACCTACATACACTGAGAATCTTCCAAAACCACCACCACCACCACCAGTAATCGATGGACAAAGCGAACGAGATACAGAAGGCATCACTATCACAGAATACTCAACAGCCACTCGGGAAACTGGCACGAAGAAGACGACGGACAGTGAGAATATTGTTCACAAAGATGGATTCTTGATAACCTTTCACGCCACACGGCTACTGTCTTGCTTGGAGAGCTTTGTAAAACATTTAAACTGACCTACAACCACACATCATCATCAAGCCTGAACCTCAATTGGGTGTAGACAGACATGTTTCCTTTAACTCATGCGGACCACGTGTCACAGCAGTACAATAATCCCCGCTAGTTTACCACCAGTTCCCTTAACGCCTATGGCGACTGAGGGAAACAAAAGTTTGGCTCTAAGTACACCACACCCTGACCGACAATACCCTGCCGCCATCCCTGGCCGTTGGCATCGGGTTTCACAGCCCCACTCAAGACGAATAAAGGTTACCCTCAAACTTCAAAAAGTCCATACATCACTGGTCTCTAGTAGATATCTTTTAGGCTATCCGGTCACGCAACATTATTACTAATCCATCTCCTCTCTCATATACCTTCAACAACACAACGTACACGGTGTACTCAGCCACGAATAACCAACCACTCACATGTCTCCAAAAGCACACAAATCACAACCAACCATCACCTGTCTACCTTACTACCTAGCTTCCTTACCTTCGTCTACCCACCGACCCCACTAACTTCCCTCATCTTTACCTCCTGATACCAACCATCAGTAACCTTAGCGTCTCCTCAACTTACCACATACAGACTACTGCTAACGAGTCAAGTCAACAAAACATCATTCGTAAACTCTTAAAACCAAGCTGTCAATTCCATATTCAACCCTTCAACGTACGAACCTTATGCCAAATCGGACAACGCACCACACTCCGAAAAGCTCTGCGATCTCAAGCTCTAGATGTATGCTATGTTTCTGAGACGCGCTGATACCATCACAAGGTGACTACACACTTGACACCATCACCTGACCAGTGTGGTGAATTCGCTCAAGTCAATGTCCTGCCGAATCCCAGTTGGCAGACACCTGAGCACTGTCATACTCCATGGATCTCGATTAACTGGAAATGACTGTGGCTTTCAACCATGCCCGTTCTTACTGTCCACTATATGCACACATATAGCAGTTTCCACGGTACAAAAGGTGACTTGTCCATTTCGCTACATGGAGCAAAAAACACATATATTCATTCTAGTCGGTGATCTCAACGCTCAAGCAGGCAAACTCAGGCAATCCAAGAGGGATCTTACAGTTACCTACCCTATCTAACCTATGCCAACGATCCGACAACCGCAACCCTCTCATAAAATTTGATTCCCACTATCCCTTCTGTCTAACGGGAAAGGACTTTAAAGGAAGCAGACATGTTTTACTTACACTAATATGGGTGAAGTAGCTGGGATTGATTTGAACTTTAATGATAAGCAGTGGATTCATCATAGTATATCAACGTTAGGCAGAACAGTAGCTAGTCAAATCATGGTGAAACATGGTTTGACAATTAGTAAACTTATGGTTGCATCACGTGTCTGTTTGGATAGTAAAAAGTTCTGGTAGTAATTGTTCTTCCTTAGGAGAAGAATGAAGTGATTTTCCACATGAGGTCGCTTTACTGCAGTGTTTTCGTGCTTTGGAATAAGATCTCGAAGCAACTAATTTTGTCTCTAGCTTAGTTCATGCGTTACATAAATCTTGTATCCTCACTCGATATGTTCTTCCTGGGTTTTACGGCAGACTATGACTGCATAAACCAGGTATCCGTCTACGACCATTTATTTACTTCAGTGGGCTCCAGTTTATAATCTCAGGAGCATTTTTTGGAAGCTGAAGTACTTTGGCAGATTCTATGAAATCACTGAGAAGAGTTTCTGAAAGGTTTAAAAAAGTAGCATAGACAACTTCAAATTACTGATATTATTTGATTTCACAGGAGTTTACACATTAAATCGAACCATGAATGTTCTCCCTTCTGACGACGAAGAGTTCTTATAAGGTAAACATCATAGAAAATATCACAGATCACGACTAGACGACTGAGGTCATTCAGAACTAGTGTGGGTCATAAACCAAGAAATTCCCTTCAAGCCACATTATGGTGACCAAAGGAGGCAACAGTAAGAGAAGATGGATCAAATATCAACTATAAAATCAGCTGCAACAACTGCGATTAGCCCTGTGATCGCCCTTTTTGCCTTCGTCTACAAAATTTCTTCACTTATTTCAATGTTTGTTGATAACTATTGAGATGAATTCAATTTTGAAAATGTAGAGATTTTTGAGAGAGAAAACATGAAATTCCAAGAAGCTTGGAAGCTGGATCAATCCATCAGCCAACAGATATATAGACGTAGATCCAATCAATCATCCAATCAGAAAAATGATCAACAACTACAAGGTTACAGGTCAAGTAGAGAAAAGGCCACCAGGAAAACCCCACCGCAATCAAAGGAAACAGTACTAACCACATACCCATTCATCAGAGTAGGATACTAACGAATTGCTCACGAAAAAATCCTGATAACTCACTTCATACTGAAGTTTGTGTTGATGATTTTGCTGAAAGACAATGAAAGCTTCACGATTAAACATTCAACTCAGAAAACCCAACAAAAACGGAAGCAATCCACATTCAAAACTCAGATTTATTCAAATCAAAACACAAATGACGACGTACCGGTAAAGAGCAATGGTTAAGCGGATATTGGGATCCGAAGCAAGGCTATCTGAAAGAAGAGCAGGGAAAAAAGATGGCACAGTAACCTGCTTATTTCATAATTTACAGATATCTAATCCCCTATGCATATAAAAATACTAGTATGAAATGCAGAAACTTAGATCCTCTTTGAAATCAAACAGATCTACTCATTAGTATCTGTTTCAGAATCGGTAATGCGGTGTACTAATTGGTGATCATGACCAATGGAGTTAAATAGGTCACATAAGAGGATGGATGTCTACCGATAAGGTTAGACGGTTGCTGTGCCCCATTGCTAACTGAAGTTCAAAAAGGTAAACCACTGAATTCCAACTTAGCAACTGAATGGTTACGTCATCACTGCAAGAGCTAGTGCTCTTAGACCTGATATACAGTGGTCATGTGCAACGCTGAATCACAAAGTAGAACAGGTGTTCAGTAGTCCATGGATTTCAATGGTTCTACTAAATGCCGTCAATCTGCAATGAAACACCGACCGGTTCTTAACAAGTTGACCAAATGAATAAAAGAAATAGTTGGAGAACAATATATGATACAAAAAAATTGAATGACGCTATGGATTTAGTTGTGTGACATCTATGAACTGATTATTTTTTAAAGAACCCGCAATCACCTATTCGATCTAAATTTTACAAACATCAAACGAGAAGCAAATATCAAGCTAAACCTTACTTTCTGATGATCGAGAAGCCTGAGTTTCACTTGGTGATGAACTGTAAACGGTTGCATCACTATCCGGTAACCAATCAGGTTGCTGAAATAAACACGAGATACAAAATAGAAATATTTAGCGATTTGTTTAAAAGATGATTCGGTAGCTATCAAAAAATGTCATTCACTAAGGTTTGTTGTTTTAATCCATGTCCGATAAAGCCGCAAGTGTGAATGGCTGTTTTTTACAAATATTTGACTAACTAAACCACTTTTAGAATATAAAAGTTTGATAATCAAATGTTTCAGTACTAGTTTAAAACTCTTTCGAATCTAGAATGACGATTAACCAGTGTTGTAGATAAAGTTAGAATCATTATTTTAGCCAAAGCAAAGCAACCGATACCTCCAAGAAAGATATTAGCACTACATCAAAAAGCAAGGTATGGAACATACAAAAGATACTAGAATTACTTCCATGTAATAGCTACATGGCGTTTTACTGTTAATAAAACACTTCACTTGCTTTGAAAATAATCTTTCAACAGTATTATCTGCTTAAGTGTTTAAATCAATGACTGTTAGTTGGTTAGAGGCAATGGAAGAAAAGTCCTGGACCTGGGTTTCGTGCTTTTTAGCACTCATCAGCAAGAGATATATGCAACCTCGAAAGGACTGATATCCCCCTCTGAGATTCGAACCTGCGTCATCTAGTGTTCAGTCAGCGACGTTAGTACTGAACTATTTTGGACACAACTGGCCTTCTCTTGGACTGGATCGGGTACACTGGTTGGTCACTAGAAAGCAACCAATTTCATGTTGTCTAGTTCTTAGTGCTAACCGATTCAATCGACCACTTCGCAGATTTCCGACAAGCACGAAACTGAGCATCAGGGTTTCCTGAAAATTGGTGATGAACTTCCTAGCCTGGTAGCTATATTGCAAAATGATTGATAGAATTCGGTCAGAACTCAGAACTACACAACATGAAATTGATTGCTTGTTGATGACAACCAAGTTTTTTTTATTTATAAAAAATGCGAAACACAGGTCATATTTACCTATTCCAAAATAAAAACTTAGTGGTAACGATGAGAATGAAAATGGTAAGAATAGTGAAAGATCATATATTAGGCAAATTAAATTCAGTATTTATTGAATATTACCTACTTATGACGAATGTCCTTTCTCTAAAGTTCATTGTATTGCTCTTCTGGCTTTATCCAGCTCTGATTTCTTCCAATCTATCCTACTTCTCTCTACAGAACTTCTGTAGTTGGACCGTCTGCCATTGTGACTTAAATCGAAAAAGTAGCTCTATGAGGAACTTCACTTCCATGAACGCATTGAGCATAAATCTGAATATATTTGACATGCGTTCCACACCTGTCAAATGTAAGATGATGCTTCAGGACTGGTCTGCTACAAGTACTCCCAGCTTAACGTTAAGGAGTTAAGTTCTGGAATGTGTCGGCCACTTCACTTACTTGGGAAGTTGCATCAGTTCAAATAGGCCGCTCACTAATGAGATCTCAGATAGCACGCAAAAGGCCCGTTTAGCATTCACCAACTTGCGTCATCTGTAGCACCCACCGGCGAGATATCTGATTATCTACAACAGGACGAGTACACCGCGCTGCAGTCCGTTCTGTCCTGTTATACGGCTGTGAGACATAGCTTTCAAAAGTAGATATGAAGCGGCTTCAGGGTTTTGATCACAGATGTCTTCGTAGAACTACCGGCGTTTGGTGGAATCACCGTATGAGCAATGTTGGGGTCAGGCGGAGGGTACTAGGTAAGACAGGGAAGTCAATTGGTGGCGTCGTGAACCTTCATCGAGTGAGGTGGCTCGGATTTGTACCACACATGCCGAGTCACCGCCTACCTTGATGTTTCATACTGCGGGAAGTTGCATTAGATTGGAAGACGGTTCATGGTGGCCAGACCCGGACATGGCACCGGTCGGTGAAGTCTCTTACTGTTGGTCTGAACCATGCATAGAGATGTAGATTGTCTGGCTGGGGTCCCCGAGATGGAAGGGATCAGATGTCAAGAATTTTTAGTGACATGGCTGGAAATCGGCCACAGTGGCGTAGGTGTATTCACTCTTCGATATCTCCTAATGACTGGGCATTCGCACTAACCTTTCTCTCTAACTTGCTGATTCTCTCATACTACTTAACCTACTTTGGTACCACTCCTCTCGTATCCGCCAGTTCTTTGTGTATCGCTGTGAAGTGTGGCAATATGGGCCGATACAGCTTTGCGCGATGTTGTACCACGGTGTCATTGGTTGGGCGGTCGGTTAATGACGTTCTTGAGACATCTTTGATAGGGTTGCGTGACGTTTGTTTGGAGCCGCTACGCGTACAACGGCTGTGAAGTGAGGCAACATGAGCCGATGCAGCTGTGTGCGAGTTTCTTCTTGACGTTGTCAGTCAGTCACTTCCATTATTTTACATGGAAAACGAAACTATTATTACTATATCTAGAACTTTGGAACAAACAACTGATTCACTGAAAGTTTTGCAAACCTTTGGAAACAGTTATGGTATGCTGTTAATCTGAATTAGAGTGAACAAATTGAGTGGTTCTCAACTAAAAGATGAAAATAATGATACGAAAATAACAAGAAAACTTACTTCTACTTGAGAATCCTCAAAAGGCTCCTCTGATTTAAGGTCATATAGGAAAACAGGAGCGTACATATGACTAACAAGTAGATGTTTTCCGCCTAGATCCGAAGAAACTGACCGCTTATGACCAGTCGGGAACATAAACTGCATGTGATCCTTTTCAAAAACTGGCTCGAACTTGACTGAAGTAATGTGACCTGGTCCGTAGTCTAATCGAAAAGTCTGGTGAGAAGTCAACTTTGCAGGTAGACCAAGAGGTCTAGCTAAACGAAATGGCACAGGTTCAGGTGGATCTCCCATAGCTGCTGAGGAGGACACTGAAATATACAACGAAAATTGCCATGAAACAGTACAAAGGTGGTTTTTCAAATAGAAGAGAACACAGAATGTAAAATTCAGCAAAACTTGAGGAAAATTGAAAAAGAATGTGAAGTGTATTTATATTGAAAGTATTCACACAGTGAGCATAGCGTGACAGTGGATTTTATTGTATAGCAACAGGGTTTCACAATGGAGATGTAAATACAGTTATTGATATCAGTAAATACACGATTGTGACTCTTTTTGGTACTGCTGACACTCAGTAATACTCTCGTTTAGAGAAGATAACTGAGACGATGGGTGGAATAGTTTGAAAAAATTCGATTAGTCTTCGAAACCTTCCTTTTTTGTCCATTAACCAAATACTTCATTCATCATAAAACGGACACTGACCCTCCAACTCTAAGTGAATTTATAAACTTCACGACAAATGAGAAAAGGGGATTCATTTATTTGTTTACGTTTAAAACAAGCTTAATACACCATAGATATGAAAGATGTGTCAAACAAAAAAGTATAACAACATGAAGGAAAAAGGGGGAGTAATAAAGGTAAGTGAACAAAGAAAAGTGCAGAAGCGAAACTGAAGACAGATTATGAGAGCAGCAGCATCAAAAATGCATTCGCAGAAATATCCACTACTTTGGTTTTACCTTTCAATAAAGAAAGTAAGGAGAAAGTTGGGGCATGATCACCACTAGTTTTGATTCCATGTCATGCATGCTATCATCCCAAACCGCAAGATTGCACACTCCAAGGAGTGATAAGACATCACAAATGCCAAGTCAAATAGTGATAACCTCTTGGTTGTATTGTGTTCTCTGAGCTGGGTTTTTTAATCGTGAAGCTTTCATCGCCTTGCTAGACGAAATCATTAGCACTAACTTCATACTGAAGTAACACATTTTCAAGCCACCTCAGTCGGTGAATGTCCACTAGCTCATCCATTGACTTGCCTCCTTTGTCCATTACTGCGTGCTTAACCTCAACATTGTTCACACAGTGATCCCACTATACATGAGAAGTGCTAAGAAGAAACTTGTGGTCAAAGACTTGTAAGATTCTCATACCATCCTTTTTCAGCGGCTTGTTCTCACAGTCATATAATGAGAGCAGACTGCAGGGCAGTAAACTTGTCGATTAACAGGTAGCCAGTTATCTCACCGGCGTCAGAGATAATATAAGTTGATAAATGTCAAGCAAGCCCTTTGTGTTCGAGATAAAATTTTACCAGAAACCAGACTACTCAAGTTTGAGTAGAAAGCCTTCATTAGCATCACACGCTTGTTTGCTACTCTTTTCATAATCAGACACTATCAAAAAACCTCTTACCCAACCGAGCCAAATGTCATCTTCAGGTCAAGAAATATGGTCATTGTTGAGAGCCAATAAGTGTATCTGTGGCTTAAAGACTGTTGAAAGGTGAAGACCTGATAGCATGACCCACATCCAGGTGTTGAACGTGTTTGGCTTAAGCTTTTGTGAGCCATAAGAAAACTGCGGAACCTAGGGTTTTAGATACAACTTGAGTCAAACTGATTTGGCTGCGGTGGACACAGTATAACTTCCCTTCGCATAAACCTGAACAAACAGGAATCTAGACCAGACTAACGGTGCCACCTATGATTTCCATACAGTTGCTAGTAACTCGGTTAATTTGGACATCATCTAAATTCATCCGTAAAAATTCTGGTAACAGACGATACAGTTACCTGAACTTGCACTAAGAGATGGGAAATAACCTGTTGAAGCTTAGTATGAATTGGGAGATAGATGTCTATCTACACCCAATTGAGGTTCAGGCTTGATGATGAAGTGTGGTTGTAGGTCAGTTTAAATGTTTTACAAAGCTCTCCAAGCAAGACAGTAGCCGTGTGGCGTGAAAGGTTATCAAGAATCCATCTTTGTGAACAATATTCTCACTGTCCGTCGTCTTCTTCGTGCCAGTTTCCCGAGTGGCTGTTGAGTATTCTGTGATAGTGATGCCTTCTGTATCTCGTTCGCTTTGTCCATCGATTACTGGTGGTGGTGGTGGTGGTTTTGGAAGATTCTCAGTGTATGTAGGTTTAATTTGCTTCGACTCATGATCGTGGTCATAGTCAGCTGGAACATTTTTTATGTGAGTAATCAGTTGGGATATGTGGTTGTGGAGATGCAGTAACATTTACTAGCCTTTGGATGTAGGCTACAACTGTCTGTCTATATGGCTGTTTCCACAGCAGACTGAATATTAAACCAGACTTCGAGACCAAGAAAATTACTGGCATATTCTGATGAATGCGCTTAGCTCTCTTCTCGGTAGATGTCTACTTGATGTTCTCATTTTGGAGTCAAGCGAACTTAGGCTTCACTGTTGTCTGTTTGCTACTCCCATTGGGTGTGAGAACACACGTGCGCTTACTAATGCATGATCGTGATCTGAACAGGTACTGCAGAGAGAGTGACAATCATTGAGTGATCCTCTTCAACGATGGGTCATAGTGACGATATGCTGTAGCTGTGTCGGTCGTTGGTTCGATGCAGGCGGAGGCCAAGTAAAAGAATATTTTTTTTGCTTCGCTTGAAGTCACTGGTAGTCAGACAGAAGTGTTTGTGAGGACAGAACTATATGACAGGATTGCCCTTGTTGGATCGTTGGGATAGGATAGGGTAGGTAACTATAAGATCCCTTTCGGGTTGGCTGAGCTTGACTGCTTGGACGTTGAGGTCAATGACTAATATAAATATATCTGAGCGTTTTGGTCTATGTAGAGAAATAGACATCTTAAGATAAGATTTAAGCATTGTGCAGTCAAAACCATGGTCAGTGGGTGCGCATCAGGAAACTGCGAACAGGTATGGTCATTCCCAGTTAATAAATATCTATTCAGTCGAACAGCACCCATACAGTTGTGGATTGGTATGATCGGACATCATTTTGCCTTGAGCCAGAGGAACAAAGCAGTATAACTTAGCAAGATTATTTCAAATGACTAAGATAACTGAGATAGTCGACTGGCAGCTTTTTAAAGCACTATATCATAGTAGAACACGCCTAGTTAACAAGTTCACTAGTTACTAGCCGGTCCTAAACATGGATAAAGAGGGAACATTGGGCAACCCTACCCGGTAAAACCAATCCAATCGCTAAAAAAACTTCAAAGCACAAAGAAAATATAAAAAATAAAATAAACCCATTCCTCAATGGAATCAGGGAGACGAAATGACGCCGGTTGCTGAAAACCATCGCGAAGCCAATTGGGCGATATGTCCTCTCTCTCGATGAACGCAAAAGTAAGCATAGGGACATGGAATGTCCGAACAATGTTTGAAGCTGGCTGGCAAGGCTGACCAGATTTCAAAAGAAATGAGAAGGTATGGCATGGAAATGCCAGGAATCTGCTAGAGTAGATGCAATGGAAGTGGACTCTCCAAACTGTCAACTAGAGAGTCGATAGTCTACTCTGATATTTTCACCCAGACGACAACCACAAGCACACTGAGTTTCGGAGTGGCTATCATGATCTCCCCCAACAGCATCGAAGGCTCTCATACAGTGGGAACCAATCTCCTCCACAATCAGGATTATGACAGCAAGATTCAACTCAAAAGAAAAGAAAGTAACAATCATACAACACTACGCTACGCACCTACAAACAATGAAGACCAAGAGAAAAAGGAGGAATTCTACAGACAACTGCAATCAGTAATGGACAAGACCCCACCCCAGATGGAGACATCAATGGGTGACATGAATACCAACACAGGAAGAGAAATCATCAAGGGTGGAGAAGCACTCAGTGAAATGAACGAGAATGGAGAATTGTTTGCAGACTTCTAAGCAAACAACGATTTGGTGATTAGAGGCAGTGTGTACAAACACAAGGATATTCACAAGGTAGCGACATGGATTTCACCAGACACTAGGACACACTAAAAATCACATCAACTTCATCTCAATGTGAAGAAAGTGGAGACGCAGCCCACTGAACACAAGATCAGATGAAGAAGGGGAGCAGATGTAGGTGGTTCACACCACTCACTATCTAGTGCAAGGAACCTACCTTCCAAATCAAGTTGAAGCATATCACAGAAGTTGGTGACAGACAGATCACAGTTCAAGTTCAACAACCACACAGAACAGAAACTGAACTGACGGACGAAACTAATGAGGACATCTTCATGTCAGTCAGTCAGTCATCAGGAAAAAATGAGAGAAATTAGGCAACATCCATGAAGAAAACTGCGTGGAAGGACACTGGAACCCTTTGAAAGAGACGTGGAAGGAAACCTGCATAACCGTGTCAGGAAGGAAGAAGAAGCAAGACAAGACAAGGAATGGATCTCCACGGACACATGGAAGCTGATAGAGCAGGGAGAGGAAGATGGCGAGGTAGAAGATGAACCAGTGCAATGTAGTGCAGTGCAAGGAACTGAACACAACCTACAAAACACTCACTACACTGGACAAAGAAGTGAAGAAGAGTGCGCGCAAAGACTAGAGACACTTCTACAACACACTGGCAATTGAAGCAGAACAGGCTGCTGGTAGCAGAGACAGAGACCTGACAACAACATATCAAATAACCAGGTTACTATCTGGGAGGGAAGAGATCAACGCAGATGAAACCAATGACAGATAGTGAAGGAAAACTAGTTACCAAAAAGGAGCAACAAAGGCAACAATGAGCTGACCACTTCAAAAAACTCTTGAATCAACCAACACCTGCAACTCGTCCAGAAATACCACCAGCAGTCCAGCCACAGAACTATCAGTGAACACAAAACCTCCAACAAAAGCAGAAGTGAGTGCCATAAAGTTGCTGAAATCCAGGGAAGCACCACGGCCAGATGGAATTCCTCCAAACGCAGAGACAACAGCAGACATGCTCACACCACACCAATACTGCAGGAGGTTTGCAAGGAAGGCAGGAAAGGTACCTGCCTGCCGATTGATGGGAAGAAGAGCTACCTTGTCACACTTCCAAAGAAGGGCGACCTACGCCTTTGCAAGAAC